CAAAAGCATCAACCCCCCCCCCGCCTCTCCAGCAAACCCATGCTAGGAATCCAGCCATTAAGGATGGGTCCCCCCCCCCTCTTTCCTTCTCCAGCTTCTGGAGGCTCTGCTGAGCAGCAGAGTCACTCAAAGCCACCCAACTAACACCGGGTTCCCTCCTTAAAGTTTGTTTGATGATTTCTCAAGGGAGCCAATTTGCCTTCGTCCTTCCGAATAGATTCCATGTCCTCAAAGATCATCTTGGGACTTCCAAGGTTGTCTATAGGAGGGGGGGGGGGGGGCAGCAATTCTCTATGGCAGTGTTTCTCAACCTTGGCCACTTGAAGATGTCCGGACGTCAACTCCCAGAATGCCCCAGCCAGCATTCGCTGGCTGGGGAATTCTGGGAGTTGACGTCCGGACATCTTCAAGTGGCCAAGGTTGAGAAACACTGCCATAGAGAATTGCTGCCCCCCCCCCCTCCTATAGACAACCTTGGAAGTCCCAAGATGATCTTTGAGGACATGGAATCTATTCGGAAGGACGAAGGCAAATTGGCTCCCTTGAGAAATCATCAAACAAACTTTAAGGAGGGAACCCGGTGTTAGTTGGGTGGCTTTGAGTGACTCTGCTGCTCAGCAGAGCCTCCAGAAACTGGAGAAGGAAAGAGGGGGGGGGGACCCATCCTTAATGGCTGGATTCCTAGCATGGGTTTGCTGGAGAGGCAGTGGAGAGATTGATGCTATTGGATGAGAGTTGGGGCCGTCCCCGAATTCTGTGGTTGTGCTGCTCTGTGTCCTCGGCTGAGCCCAGCCAAGGGAAATAGGTCTGGGACTTCCCCTCCCTTCTCCCAGCACTGGGGAAGGGAAGGGGTTTAAGCCAAATGGGCTGGTTTTGCTTCCCCAGGGGCCCTTTGCCTGCAGAAAACGCCCCCCCCCCCATTACCCACTCTGTGTTTCTCACCCTTGGCAGGCATGGGGGGACTCCAGCGCCCAGAATTCCTCAGCCAGCCACAAAGCCCATCCTCCTTAGAGTTGCCTTGGGGCGGGGGGGGGGGGCTGTTTAACCAAGCATCAGCGTCAGTGGTGCAGTGGGCTCTCTAGTGACCTCTAGGGCTGACTACGGGCATTACAGCATGTCACATTTCTTCCTGCTCTCTCCCCCCAGGTGACGCCATGGCTCCCATCCGTTCCCCGCGATACCCCAGCCCGGCTGAGCTCGACGCTTATGCCCAGAAGGTGGCAAACAACCCTCTCACCATCAAGATCTTCCCCACCAACATCAGGGTCCCCCAGCACAAGCACCTTAACCGGACGGTGAACGGGTACGACACGATGGGCCAGCGCTACAGCCCCTACCCTCTGCACGCCAGCAGCTACCAGGGCCTCCTGGCCGTCGTGAAGGCGTCCGCTGGGAAAGGGACCGTGAAGAGCGCCGAGGGCAAGCGGACCAAGATGCCCCCTGCTGTAGCCCCCTACTCAGTGGCAAGCACTTTAGCAGCCGGGCCCTCCTGCGTGGCCCAGCTCGGCTACCCTGGCGGCCAGAAGCAGATGGAGGCGCCCGTCCCGCCCAACGTCACGGTGGCCGCCTCGGTCGTCCCGCACGCCGGCCGGAGCTTGGTGCTGCCCCAGGCCAACCTGCCCTCCATCCAGAACATCATTTTTCAGATCAATCAGCAGTGCCAGGCTCAGGCCGGGCAGCAGATGTGCCAGGGGGTGGTGGTGGCCAACCCCAGCCCGGCCAAGCACGGCACCGCAGGCGGCTTCACAACCATGGCTACGGTGGGAGCGGCAGTGGCCTACACGGGGGCCGTCTTGCCGGATTGTCGGAAGGGCACTGAGCTGGTGGCCGGCTCCAACCCGGGCAGTGGCCTGGCGGGACCCAAGCCGGGCCTTTACCCGGACGGCATGGATTATCTGCTGTGGCAGCAGAAGCAGCAGCCGCTGCGGATGTACAGCGCAGGCAGCGGGGGGGCCGTCAGCAAGTCGCCCGAGGTGTGTGCCGGGCTCTTGCGTGCCTACCCCGTGAGTGGTGCCAGCGCCGCGGACAAAGTGCCCTCTTCGCCCTTGAACTGCGTGGGCGTGCACGGGAATTTCTCGGTGGGCCAGTACTTCGCCCCCGCGTGGAACAGCGTCTTGGTGACGCCCAACAGCAGCGACTGCTACAATGCCCCGGAGCTGCCCACCGGGCCCCGGGACCTGGGCCTGCCCCCCTCGGAGGGGCTCCCCAGCCTTGCCAGCAAGGCGGCTTGCAACACCTCCATCCTCAGCAGCAGCCTGCAGTCGCTGGAGTACCTGATCAACGACATCCACCCGCCCTGCATCAAGGAGCAGATGCTGGGCAAGGGCTACGAGACGGTCTCCGTGCCCCGCCTCCTGGACCACCAGCACGCCCACATCCGCCTGCCCATCTACAGATAAGGGCAGTGGCGCCCCCGGGCCAGGCTGCCCAAAGTGGGGGCACAGGGATGGGTCATACGGATGCTAAGGATGTGAACAGGGAGATTTTGCTGCTATTCTGGGAGTGCCCTGAAAACGGGTGTGTGCCTGCCTGCGGGCATTGCCAGCCAGACTGCCTGGGAAGGCGCCCCCCCCCTCCTCTATCCTCTTTCTGCCCAGGGTGGCACCTGGGGGCATTTGAAATGCATTGTGACCCGGGGGGGGGGGTTAGGGCAAGGAAGGGTACAGACTCCCCCCCCCCGACCCCTCCCATTAATCCAGGGCGCTTAGCGATTCTGCCTCCTTTCTAGATGAAGTCTGTAACTTGCACTGTTTCGATTTAAAGCTAATAATTGGGGTGGGGGCGAAGGTCTGGAGGCTGCCTACAGAAGGGGGGGGGAAAAACACTTGAAAACTTGAAGTGAAAACTTTTTTTTTAGTTTGAACCTGCTGTACAGTTTTTGGCTGCTATAAGATGGATATTCCCACCCCTCCATCACATCAGCATAACCCCAGATTTCTGAATTAAAACATTATTATTATTATTATTATTATTATTATTATTATTATTATCATTTTTAAATAGCAGTATTTCATTTCATGACTTGTCTGCGTGAG